CCTTCCTTCCTTCCTTCCTTCCTTCCTTCCTTCCTTCCTTCCTTCCTTCCTTCCTTCCTTCCTTCCTTCCTTCCTTCCCTAGACACCTCTGGAAAGCCCCTGGCCAGAGAAACTGCTGGGCAAAATTTGCCATTCCTCCTCCCCGTGCCTTCCATCTTTCTCCACTATTCTGATGTCCCATTTCTGCATTAACTTGCCTCCCCAAACAGCAGTCCCTTGGTCCAACGTCACCAATCCGACGGGCCAGAAAGCCTTCTTCCTTAGCCCCCCCCCCCCCAAGATGGTTGAAATCCTCCCCGCTGGATTAGACAGGCCCGTCCGAAAATCAGAGTTCCTCCCTCTCCCAGATGCCCACGAGACGAGTGAAGGTTTTGCGGCCGAAACCTGCATCTTCTCCTGCCGCTCCTCCCCGTTCTGTTCGCATGGCCTTGCTGGAGCAGAGCCCAGATGGCTGTAACCCAGTCTTGTGTGTCCGACAGGGGATAGCCAGAGGCCCCTGGGGAACACACCACCGGGCCACAGAGACCGGGCACCGTCTTGCAGCGTTTGCTTTCCCTGGAGTAAGGCGCCATCCGTGTGCCCCAGGACAGTCCCCCGGCCCTTACAGCACCATGGTGGGGATGTGGTGGCCCAGGGCGGTGGGGTGTGGCACAGGGAGGGCGGGCGAGTGGGGCTGCAAGGCACTGTTAGGGGGCCGGTGTCGGGCGCTTTTCTGATGGGCCCGGAGCCCAGCCAGTTGCGAGTAAGCGCTCTGGCAGACTTGGCACTTGTACGGCCGTTCTCCGGTGTGAAGGCGGACGTGGTTGCGCAGGGTGGACGACTGGCTGAAACGGCGGTTGCAGAAACGGCAGATGAAGGGCTTGTCCAGAGTGTGGATCCGCATGTGGGAACGCAGGTTGCTGCGGGAGTTGAAGCCGCGGTGGCAGATGACGCACCGCATGCGGCCCATCGTGCTGATCCCACCTTCGGCCACGTGGAAGTCCTCTGGGGGGCAGAAAGGAAGACAAACCAGTGGATTTTTGGAAGCAATCGCTGTTGCACACCTAACGCCACGAGAAACTTGGAAATCGAGAGACATTCAGAAAATGAGATTAGGTTCAGCAATTGAGAGAAGCCTGGAGATGTCAAGACCAAGAGCTGAGGATCTGGAGAGATTGGAGGCTTAGATGTGGGCATTTTAGAGGAATTTGGACATTTAGAGCCTTAGATTTGGGATATTTCAAGGGATCTGGAGCCTTAGATTTGGAGACGATGAAACACCAACATCACGGACAAACCTATATCATATTTTAGCTCAAGCCCATAACGTATGTATGTCTGTATTCACACACAGATGGGCATGTAGTTCATGAAATAAATAGGTATGACATCGACCCCTGCACTCTGCTTGTGCTGCAACAACACTCATCTCCCTAAGCCCGAGCAAAAATGAAATCAAGCAGAAGAATCCATTTTCAAGAGCTACTCCAGGCTCTTCTATCCAAATCTGGGTTCCTGAGAGGGGCACGGGGGGAACAAGTGACATCACGTGTGTTATCCCTACAACGTCATAATGAGGTCCTTTGCACCCATCATATAGGAGACTGTAAGTTGCCTCCAACAATGTCCCAATGGGACCGATGCAAAGGACATCACTGGTGTTATTGGCGTGTTGATGTCATGGTGGCTTGTTCTGGACATCTATGAAGGCTTCGGATCTCAAGAGGGCAACCAAGCGTCTTCCAGGGGATAGACATGTCACAGAAAGATCCTGCCAAGAGAATCTAGCCATCTTCTCACCATGTTTGGTCTTCTTCTGTTCCTCTTCAAGCCCGAGGACACCGGGAATGCCCAAAAAAGTATTATGGGAATTTCCATACCAAACCAGCAGTTCTTGATCTGGTGGAATCATCTGGAGGGAAAGAAGAGAAGACAGAACACATCTGTTGTTAGCTCTCTTGCCACAACAGGCCTTTTTTCTAATATGGGATGGAGATCCGCTTCATCAGATCAAGAGAATATCTTGTCCAGCTATTTTTGTTCCACTGTGGACCCAAGACATCCATGACTACCTTCCATTCCTAGCCTTCAAATCCAGATTGGCCCTAACTCTGGAGGTGGTCACATTGACTAGGGACCTCAAATGTGATGTGGCTACTAGAAAGATCAATGCAATTTTAAGCTGAATCAACAGAAGTATACTGTACTTTCCAAATCAGGGGACAAAATCATTCCACTTTATGCTGTTTTGGTCAAACCCAACCTTGAAGTCCATGTAATGGTTGGGGTATCACGCTTGAAGGAGGATTCAGAGAAAGTGAAACGGGTTCAGAGAAGAACATCAAGGAGGAGGAAGAGACTGAAAAGTAAGTTCTATGAAGAGAGGTAGAAGAGGCAATTTGAGCCTTCAGAAGAGCGACATGAGAAGTGATATGAAAATACTCTTTAGAACTTCCAAAGATGTCCCACAGAAGATCAAGACGAACAAGAGGAGCGGTTAAATCATGAAATCACAGATCCAGAGAAGTTGAGGACTTCCCTTCACTGGAGGGGTTCAAAGAGAAGCTAAGGAGTTTCATTTGGTTTTCTGGACCAAGCACGAATCGGACAGGATGGTCTCCATGGAGTTTCCAAACAGTTGGAGTTTATGAGCCATCAGAATGGGCCACCAATCAAGTTTTCTCTTCCATAAATATACCCTATTGCCATTTCAGAGCATCACATGGGGAAAAAAAATCACCATTTAACACTCTTTTTTGCATTTGCGGACATTTTAATGACTCTTCCTAGTCCCACCCTCCCGTTGAGAGCAAAGATCAAGAAAACCAAGCTAATAATTAATAAATGTTCATGATCAACAAACAGACAAGCATTCGCTTCTTTTTCCCCAGATCAAAAAAACCCAGAACGACATTTTTCACCTTCCTTTTAAGAAGGAAAATAATGGCATAAATCAGATACCCAAAGCCACAGGGTGGAAAAGGAGTACCGTATCTTACTGCGATCCTAACAACAGCCCTGCGAGGAAGGCTGGGCAGCTGAAACAAACCAACCTGAGTTCCCCAAACAGGAGCAAACATTTTAAAAAGGGCAGACTGATGGGTCGCTTTTTAGCCTATCTTCTTCTGCATGTCTACCCCGAAGCAGCTGGACGGGACGGTCCACCCGCTTGGGTCTCTGGGAGGCAACTTGTGGGCGCGCTCACAAAATGGCTGCCCGGTTGCAGGCGTGCAAAATCCCCATTTATCAGGCTGGGGAGGCTGCTTTCGTTCAGCTTAGCTTTAGCTTGGCAAGGTGGCACGTTTTCAACGAGGGCTTTGAAACTAGGCATCACGTCGATCCTCAACGCACGGCTGCCGAACATGGAAACGAAGCCACAGCTAGCGTGTGGCTCCCTCCCTCCCGCTTAATCTTTTAATTATAATCATATCTTTAAAAATTAACTAATGGAGCAAGACGGTACCTGGAAAACCAGCCGCCCCTGCTATTCTCTCTCAGCTGCGGGAAGGCCCCTAGGGCTAAAAAACGAGGACCGAAATGCGGCGCCAATTAATTAAATCAGTTTAAAATATAGTTGACGGGGCTCTAATGAACCGGTTTGCAGACCCAGGGCTGGAAGGCGGAATCAATTCATTTTGTCAGTTGAAAAACATCCGAAGGGCTCAAAACGGGGCTTAATTTCCCACGCTGCAGAGAAGTCATGTTTCAGGTGTTTTTTTTTAATTGATTTTTAATACAGGTGTTTATATGAACTGCAGGCAGCGAGCCACGGTGTGTGTGTGTGTGTGCGTGCGTGAAATTACAGCCACACAACCTTCTAATAGGTGTGAAATCCTTCCTGTGATTTCACACCTATTAGAAGCAAATGTCTCTTCTATCAATGTAAAAACTCTTCTGTAAAAACTCTCAGTATCAGGAGTTGGAGGGTAGCAATTCAAAAAAAGAGGGCTTTTGCTTATGGCTTTTTGCCCTGACAAAATCACCTGTAATTTTTTTTGGGGGGGGGGTCTCTTTGACAGTGTCACGCCGTCTCTCTCTCTCTCTCTCTTTTTTTTTTGCAAAAGAAATAAATAAGCCGGAAACCGAAAGGCATTTGAAACCTCCGGCAAAAGGGGAAAAGAAAAGGAGAGACGTGTTTTTCTTTCCCAAACAGGCTCGAGCGAGAATCTTAACGGTTATTTTTCCCATTAGGAGGCACAACCTGAGCTATAAGAAGAATGCCCCGTAATAACAGCACTTAGTTCATGCGCACGCTGGAATCATATAGATTGAGAATGCGCCGGGGAGGGACCCGCAAACATCTCAGCCTGTTCGTGGGTGCTTTGCACCTTCATGTGGCCCGCATTTTAGCATTTTCAAACTGCAAAGCCAAAACCCATTAAAGTTGTTAAATCGATCAACCGGCGCTTTAGAGCGCAATTCTCAACGGCTGCGTTCACCAGCGAAGGGAAATTACGACGCCCAGAGTTCCCTTCAAACTTTCTTTCGTTCGTCTATTTTTTAAACGGCAACCAGTCGCTCAGCCGAAGAGGCAAGCCGGGCATGGCTTGCCTCTTCGGCCCGCTCAGCTTAACAAGGCACACTTTTGTAACGGGTCGTGCCTCTTTGTAGCCGATCCCGTGCTTTGGGTCAAAAAGCAGATTTTTCTAGGCAAACAGAAGGATTTGCTACCTGCTGGGTGCTCTGCTGTCTGCATTCTGTGTTTTTTGTTAATCCTATACGTGCATCGTGGTACTTATTTTTGTATCATTTCCAATACAAAAGTTCAGTTCAGGAGGTTCTTACGCTTACGTTGACATCCTCCATGGCAATTCTTAGGGATAGAATTTTTAATTTTCTCTTTTTATTTTCAACACATGAAGCTTTTTCAATAATCGAGCGTTCATACTTTGTAATCGTATTATATAAACGTCGCATGGACATCCTGATTGAAATAATGCAAGGTATCAAGAGGTATCATGTAACAATAAAAGGGGGGAAAGGAAAAAAGAAACTGGGACTGATCTGTCCATTTCTCAGGCTAAATTTTCTTCTGGACAAATGCCATCCTCGGAGAATCATCCTAAAGATTCCCTCAAAGCTCTCTGCTAAGATTTTACTTTCTCCACTTTAAACTCCCCGCTTCCAGCATATCCCATTTGGAGAAAAATCCCTGACGACTGGAAAAATTCATGGCAGATCAGGCTATCAGGGGCTTCCAGTCTCTTACCTCTGAAATCTAACCCCAGATCCCTGAAAGACTAACTTTTTTTTAGGTTTTGGTTTGATGGTTGATGGTTTTAGGATGGCTGTGAACCGCCCAGAGTTGTGCTTGAAGATGGGTGGCCATGTGCATCTTTGAAACGAAATGAAACGAAATGAAATGCAGTGCAATAGACTAGACTAGACTAGACTAGACTAGATGAAAGATAGATAGATAGATAGATAGATAGATAGATAGATAGATAGACAGACAGACAGACAGACAGACAGACAGACAGACAGACAGACAGACGATAGAATGGATGGAT